ATGGAAGGGCACAATACTCAAAACTTATTAAAATGGATCTCAAGGAAATATCCATAGACATGTTTCAGCCCACATTCTTGCTCAGCTGAAAGACGGGCACTTCAAAGCCCGTCTTTCAGCATGTAAATGCAGTAATAGTAACTGATTTAACTGTTTTTTTTTCCATGTAAACCTTGGTACCACAGAGACATTAGACTTGCAGGGGTTCTCAACCTTGGCAACTTTAAGACTTGTGGACTTCAACTCTCAGAATTCCTCAGCCAGCTTGGGAGTTGAAGTCCACAAGTCTTAAAGTTGCCAAGGTTGAGAATCCCTGCATTAGAGGCTGCGTGCAATAGTCTAGCTCTTTCTAGACATGGTAGAAGTTGATAGGCCACATGAATGTTTATAAGCTCTAGCCTAGCCATAGACATTATCTGTGTTACTTTGGTTGCTATTGTCTCCACTTTTTTGTTTGGGTAGGCTACAGAAGACCAAGTGACTGAGGCTTGGTAGGCCAAGAAGCTGTCTAAAATTTGGAGCAATACAGCAGAAAGTTAGCCAATATAAGGGCAGCAAGTAAAAGCAATGAAAGGGCCATTTCCAATGTTCAAGTTGAACCTGCAGAAAAGTGGCTTCTCCTCAAGCTCAAAAGATCTTCAACAGCTACTAGAATTAGTTCTACTGCCAATTTTTCAAGTAATCCATGCCTGCCAGCTTATAGAGACAGCTGATGCCCCTGTTTCTGCTGGACAGAGAAAGCTGAGCAAGGTTAGTACCTTTCCCCACTGTCAAATTAAAAGTGCTCTCCACCCATTCTTGAGTCACCAGAAAACTATACAGGTATGAAATCTGTCGTCCCATTATGGACCCTGTCCCTCTTATTGCATCTATTCCAAGTCACCACCAAAGGGAATAGCTTTTATAACACATGCAATTTGCACAAATAAAGATGATTAGCTGATTCCTTAGGCCTTGCGCTCCTTCTTTAGCACACCACCTATCAGCAAGAGTTATTTGCCGCTAAATTATTTATCTGCAAACCATAGTATTGTACTTCCTGATTCCTCAAGTTCTGTTTGGAGACAATGAGAAGAGAGGCAATCTCATCTTGCCCCCATGGTAAATATTTTCCACCCATCCTTCTAAACTCCTGGCAGCTGAAATCTCCTCACCCCTCTCAACATTTAAATAATTTTATCTGGCCAATGAATTCTTGCTCTCATATAGTGTTAGTTTCTAGCAACACATGTGATTTTCTTAACCTTTCATTGAATTATTTTCCTATTTTACCAACAACAGTCCCAAACCATAAGTGCCCCCCAAGCTAAGGCGATAAGCAGAGATATTGCTGTCATGCTGTAGACTCTGTTGTGGGAGTGGGGGAGGGATGTTAGATCCTTTCAAATCAATTTTGACTTCTGCCAACTTCCTGGACAAGTCCCTTTAGTTTCTTGGCAACATTTTTCAAAAGTGATTTACCATTGCCTCTTCCCTAGGGCTGAGAGGGAGTGACTGGTCCAAGGTCACCCAGGTTTGGTGTCTAAAGTGGGACTAAAACTCACAGTTTCCTGGTTTCTAGCCTGATGCCTTAACCGTTACACCAAACTGGCTCTGTCAAAGTGTTGGAAGCCAGATTCTTGAAAAGTAAAAATGTGGAACATTAAAGTGTTGGATTCTGTGTCAAAAGCATCAGACTTCCCTCCACTTGTCCTTTATATCTGATGGTTCTGTGTAATTATGTGAATAGGGCAGGCCACTCTAGATACTTCACCTGCCCCACACCTGGCCTCCCACAACATTTTCATGCTAGCCCTTTAAATACAATTTGGGGATCCAACCAAGCAGCTGCATCCATTCCAGTCTCTGCCTCTGGCAGCAGAGAGACAGAAGTCTGGCTGTCATCCAGCTCTCTTAGTCCTTTCCAAGCCTTGCAGCAACCTTGCTTTCCTCCCTGCCATGTCCATAGCAATCTCCCCACCCAGGCTGATTCTATTTTGGGAAGCTGCCAGCAACATAGCAGCAGCAGCAGTTCTTTTCTGAGTGGCCTAGCATGTGGCTGGTGGCCAGCTTCCTTCCCTGGCCCTGGCAGCAGTGCCAGAGATCAGGTTGCAGCTGTGCAAGGCAGAGAACTAGAGCAAAGTGAAGGAGTCTGTAGAAAGCCCATGGTTAAAAGGGCAAGCCATTCCCACGGCCCAACTGGCAAAGCAGCCTTCTGGGAAACAAATCTGCACAGGTCCCAACTGGATCAGGAGTTCTCATACCAGAGATTGGAAGGAAATCCCATGCACAGGATAAAAATACTAGAAACCTTATTGACATTCTGCCAACAAGGATGGAATTCTCTGTGACAGTAGATAAAAGGAAGACTGCCTGTCTTCTGGATTTTCCTGCAGTATACCAGCATGTTTTTTTTTTATCACCATAAACTTTAGTTTGCTCGCTTGAGAAACCAGGAGCACTTGATTCTTCTCCAGTTGAGGTTCATGGGAGGATGAAGAAGGGTGAGGAGGAGTAGACAGTCCTCTATCACAGGTATCTCTCCTCCAGGAATAGCATTATACTCTTCAGGGTCAGTTAAAGATCTAAAAACCTGCATTTGCACACATGAAAAGCTTAACTAGTTTTAACTGGAAGAATTGTAGTTTAACATAGTGGAAAACCTAACTTGCTTAGTTATGGTCTAATGGATTAATGGATTAATTAGCAACTCTATTAAATGGAACGCAGTCAAGAGTATTTTGCTTGCACTTGATCCTGAAAGATACATTTCACCAATGCCTTTTTCTATCTGTTACAGCTTATGGTCTGAGCTAAAAAGCTCTGATCAATTGAAGAGGCAATAATCAATCATTGCATGGACCAGGTCACAAGCAACATATGAGAAAGTGGAAGTGTGCCTCATCAAGGGCTACATGTATGCCCCTAGAGTTCAATAAATCAATATACATAATAAAGTTATAAATAGCAGAAGAGGGCATAAAACCACAGTAGATCCAATATAAACCTTACAAGCAGCAGCAAAAATCAATCCCATTAAAAATGTAAGATATGAAGAAATAAAATTGGTTTGACTGGGCAGCGACAACTAAATTAGGTTCATATGAGGTGAATACTCTAGAGAAGGGATGAACTGTTGGTGTGTTCATACAACATCCTTAGGCTGGATACAACATTACCATTTCCTGGCTTTGCACAAAGAGTGAATTATGAATCAAACATGAGAATGGGTTAGTATCCTAAGGTACTTTCCTATACATATGCATACAGTATATGTACAATTTAACCAATGTTAAACTAATCTAGCTTAGCATGTTGTACAAATTATAGAATCATCAGTTTGAAATAACCTTCAAGAGAGTCCATTCAAGAGAGTCTATTCTATTGGCTTTCAAAAGCCAATAGATTAAAAGGGAGTAGCACAGCTAAGGAAAAGGGGAAAAGAAATGGTGGACTGCGTTATTTGGCGACCCCCGTGAAATGGTTGTTCTACCCCAAATGGGGTCCTGACCCACAGGTTGAGAACCACTGCTCTAGTCCAACCCCTATGCAGTTCTAGGCAACTATCCTAGTTAATCATGTTTTAGTAAACACAGCCTATCAGTAGAGGAAGTTCTATTCCAATTTGCAACAGAAATAAAATCTCTCATAGGTACCATGTTAATCCCAAAGGGGTATCTAAAGAAGTTTCAACATCTTGGCAGATTTGACACTCAGATATGTTGAAATTCTACTCTCCTTATCTCCAATTTACACAGGAAGCTAACCATTGGTCAGCAGTTTAAGAAACTTGTGTGCACAGAGATATGCATATATTTATTGCTATTTTCAGGCAACTTCAATTCCACAACCTACATAATGGCCACTAAGCTTGGTTAGTTTTAACCTTGGCTTTGTTTTAGTTTGCATGTTGTGCATATACAACTCGTATTTGTAATCCAACTTACTGTCCAAACCCAGAAAAGGTGTTAGGTCAGCAAATTGCTGAAACTCAGTCAGTGTCAGTGATGCATCAGTTTATGAGCCAAGAACATGAACCCTTTTACTAGAAATAACTGAATTGTCCAAAATAATTCTTTGCAATTTTCCTAGAGGAGTTTTATTTCTAATAAGAGCAGCTGGGTCCTTTGCCAGATGTCATAGGCGTGTCCACACAATACCCAGCCAAGAGGTGTTTGCAGACTGAAGCTGCATGTATTCAATCAATCAGAATAGAACTGGAAGAGACTTTTGAGGTTTTCTAGTCCAACCCCCTGCTCAAACAGGAAACCCCATTTAATTTAAGACAAGTGGCTGTCCAGTCTCTTCTTAAAAACTCCAGTGATGAAACACCTACAACTTCTGAAGGATAGCTGTTCCATTTGTTAATCGTTCTCACTGTTAGAAAGCTTCTTCTTAATTCAAGGTTGCTTTTCTTCTTGGCAATAGCACTTAGACATATACTGCTTCACAGTGCTTTACAGACCTCTCTACCTGTAAGTGGTTTACAGAGTCAGCATATTGCCCCCAACAATCTGGGTCCACATCTAACTGATCTCGGAAGGATGGAAGGCTGAGTCAACCTTGAGCCGGTGAGAATCGAACTGCCAAACTGCTGGCAGCCAGCAGTCAGTAGACGTAGCCTGCAGTACTGCATTCTAACCACTGTGCTCATGATTAGTTTATGTCCAATTTGAATGGATTACAAATGGAATGGAGTTACGAATGGAGTTACAGGCATCAGTGACAGCATGTATTTGTGTGAGTGCATATGGATCTGTGGCTTTTCTGTACGCAAAAATATATAGTTTCCCAACCAGTTGCTTTCTTCTTGTATATGTTCACCTCCAACAAAGGCCACAAAGCTATTCTTAGAAACTGCTGACTCTAGAAACTTCAGCTTTAGAAAGAAAGCACTGAAAATTTAACCCAACTCTCCCTTATCTGGTTCTCCTATTTAAAGGCCTCAATCAGAGTAACTTCCTATCCACACCCTGGGTGACTGATCTTGCAACTATGGACATGCAATGGCTTCCACTCACCACTGGCTGTTTCCGTTTTCTACCAGGTCGCCCCACTTTCCTCACAGGGATTCCTGGATCTGGCTTCTCCTCCTTGTTCCGATTCTCCTCAGGATCTTCTTCTCCCTGTTTTCAGGGGGAAAAAAGAGAGAGAGAATGTTCTTCTTAGCTCTTGAGTCAGGAGGCATCTCAGAATCTCCTGTGCGAGAAAAAAAACCCTTTGTTTTAAAGGCGCATTGTCTCTTTTTAAAGAAAAGATTGTGCTCCTACCTCTGGGCACCTTGTTCCTTTCCATCAGCCTCACTAGAGGCCTGCTCCATTTAGAACACAAGAAGTGCTGAATTTGAACTTCTTTTAAAGCTACACAAAATGGTGTCATCATGACATTTTCTGGTAGTGACTGTTTAACTTTGTGCTATGTAAAGAAGCATCACAGGCAAATGTGGTCCCTCTTTCAACCCAATCTACCTCATGGCAGTTTGACATGCCTGTTCTAGATCAGGGCTTTTCAACCAGTGGTACGGGTACCACCTGTGGTACATTGGCACCTGGCAGGTGGTACGCGACCATCCTAGAAAAGTGATAGCGGGGGAGGGGAATGAGCTGAACCGGTGTCAGCATCGCACAAGCCTGAGCGAGAGATGGCTGGAGTTGCAGGACTGCCAGGGCTCAGCAGAAGCACCAGGATCAGTGCCGTTTCCCAGCTGATCGGCGCTTCTTCGGGGCTGTCAGGGCTCAGTTGAAGCCCCAGGATCAGTGCCAGGCTCCAGCTGGAGCTCGGCATTGATCCTGGCGCTTCTGCTGAACCCAGAAGAAGTGCCAATCAGCTGGAATGTTGCAGCAACTCCAGGGTCTTGTGATTTACATTTAGATGCTTGGTAACTGATTCATATTTATGATGGTCACAGTGTCCCAGGGTCATGTGAAGTGACCAAAACCTGCTACAACCACCCAGCAGATGGGTGGTATAAAAACCAAATACCCCCACCCCACCCCCGCTGCCAATCCCCAACAGAAATGCTCACAACAATGAAAACCTCGAACAGGAGGAAGAGTGCCACTGGGTGGGCAGGCGTCTTGCTTGGCTGTGGCTTGGGGGGCACTTTTTTCAGTGCCATTGTTAACTTCGAACAGTCCTTAAGCAAACTATTGTAAGTTGAAGACTACCTGTACTTTATCACTTTTTTCCTTTTGGGGGCGGGGTCATAAAGTTTTTGACACCTTGCTAGGCTGGTGGTACTCGGATATTGCCATATCCTAAAAGTGGTACAATGGGTGAAAAGGTTGAAAAGCCCTGTTCTAGATCAACCTTTTCCTTCATCCATATTGTTACACAACCATACTCTTTTTTTTTTTGTATCATCTTATACACATTTCGCCACTGACTGATGCCCAGATTGCTTTGCTAATTTTTACCTTGGATGCTTCCAAACTGGCAGTTTAATTCATTATAAGCTTCATGTGAAATTTCAATCAATTTTCCACCCTTTAATCCTTATACACACACCCCCAATATGTTCTATCCATGCTTGGGAAAGTTACAAAACAGTGTAGGTTGTGAAAGTTCAGCTCATATACTATATTTAATAATCTATTTTTAACAGATTTGCCTTATGATATTGGTAAGGCATAATTTATTTAATTTATTGCACTCATACTATAATGATTTTATTATAAAATATGAATGAAACAATAACTTACAGCTATTGATGCTGCCAATTTAAAGAGCAGTAAGACAGTATATTTTACACATTGTTAATGTGCTGTATATATCTGGCTGAGTATGGTACCATTAACTTTAAAAATATATTTAAGTGTTTGTAGAAATATATTAATTCTCAGGGTTATTATTTGTATTATTTTTAAAAACCAAACATAGTGTTGTATTATTCTTGTTATTTGCAAAACCCAAACAATAGGCTAGAGTCTTTGAAGTGAGGGGTTTTATAAATCCTACAACTAAATAAAAAAGTGCCATATTTTTTTCTAATGATCAGAAAACAGCTCAATCGTTAAAAAATACCAGTCTAAAGGATCAGAATGGGATGGGAAAAAGGTATAATGAATAGGGGAAAAAATGGAAATTGTGGTTTCTAGTGAGTTTGTTCTGTAATATGTCACTGTGTCCATTAAAAACATCCTTTTTGGCAATGACAGAAGTGTAGTGCTGAGAAATTTGAAAAAAAAGATAGAAGTAGCATGGGAAACACTCAGAATAACATTTTGATCATGCTCAGATACCCTGTAAAAAAATCACATGAACAGAAGCCTGGCTATGCTATAATGGGATAGTATTCAGAAGCAGCAACTGCACTGCTACCAGTAGCTTTTCTTCCTTAGTTGACTTTTTCATGAAATGAAAAAAAAGTTCTTTGGTGCCAATAACAATCATCCCGTCTGCCTGATTTAATTTTCTTTGGGTCTTCTGCAAAGTTCTGCCCTCACTTATAAATTCCCACATCACTTTTTTTTTTTTTTTTTTTTTGTCCTTTGAGTCAGGCTTGACTCCTGCCACAGGAACAAGGCCACATAGTCATTCAGACAGCAGTTTTCAGAAATTCCTTCTTTTATTGCCTTCCTCCAAGGCCACAGAGAGAATGACTGAAACTCAAGGTCATCCAACTAGCTTTTTTTTTAACAAATTTTATTTATAATACAGTTAAAAGCAGACAAACATTGGATTTAACATGACATTCCGGAATATATATTCTTATCAGATTATTCCACTTTTTACAATCAATTCTTCATCTCTACATATACATCTAAGTTTTATATACAATACTTGTTCTAAAATAACATATATTTCTATCTTAACATTCATCTTTAATCCCGACCGTCCTCTTCAAATTCCTCCAGCGGTAAAATTTATCCCAGGTTTCATAATAAACTGATCCACGTTTGTCTGAATATCATTGTGAGCCTGTCCATTTCCACACATGCTAATATTTTATGTATTAACTCTTCCTCTGTGGGAACTTCCTTGCTGTTCCATTTTTGCGCTAAAGCAAGCCTAGCTGCAGTCAGGTATGTAGCAGCAGGTAGATTGTTCCCTTGTCCTATTTTTCTGTCGCATCCAACTAGCTTTTGTGTCTCAAGTTTCTCCACTCCTAATCCAGCACCTTAACCAACCCGCTAAATCCAATCTGACCCCCAAAAGAACAGCATAAATCTGCCCCTTGCAGAGAGAAGTAATTTTACTTACCAGCTTCCTTTTTAAAGCCACAACTACTGCAAATTTATTTTTATTTCTGTAAGCTGAGTTTTGCAGTTTCAGCAATGAAAAGTTGCAGGCTCTTGCTGCATTGCTACTTTTAAGATATGCTGAATTTGCTTTAATAGTTATCCTCACCTTCTTCAATACAGGGTAGTGTTCCCTAGAGATGTTTGACAAAAGCTTTCTTCATCCCCAACCCAGAGGATGGTGAAGGGCAAGTTAACCTCATGTACCTACACTTCTATAGTTATATCATGAGGTTTTGTCATCTTGATTAGAAAAGAAAGATGACAGAAATGACTAGAAAAGATATGCATATTAGAATATATCAACCTTATTGTAGTACTATATCTTGCAAATAGAATTCTTTATTGGCCATGTGTGATTAGATGCACAAGAAATTTGTCTCTCATGCATAAACTCTCAGTGTACATGCAAAACAACGAAGTAATAGTAACAACAAAGGATAATAATAATAATAATAATAATAATAATAATAATAATAATAATAAAAAAATACCACCAATGTTTTAATTAAGTGCTTATATGACTATAAGCCACACTGTAGAACCCCTGCCCTGGATACAAGGAAAGTACAAAACACTATTTTTTAACAATATTTTTGCAATATTTGATTATAAAAAATAAGATTAATCAAGGAAAAACTGCTTTGGCTTTAAAAACTGCTTTGGCTATAAAATGCTAATTGGTAATTAAAGTGAACAGGAAGCCATTGATTAAAGGAATAGAAATTACGTTAAGTCTCTGAGAAAGGAACAAGGTGGAATCTGTTAGCAGCACTGTAGCAAGAAAAAGCTTCAAAAGGTCATTGCCAGTTGGCATGGATAGACTGGGGCTGCAGCTGTGTTTTAGGTCATGAACAGCAGAAATCAAGCCTATGAAAAGATGGAAAGGCAGCAGAGAAAACTCAGAAGGGTAACATTTTGAGAAGCCAACGCTACTGCATTTTCTGTACCCTACCTATAAAGCTATGTTAATAAAATTTGCTTATTCAAACCTATTACAAACTTAGTAGTTACACTCAGACAACACGAGTTATTTTGGTGCAGAATTTTTGTGCAAATGCAGTTGTGCTTTGTAAACATAGTTCATAGTTTATTTGATTAATCAAAAATTAGTTTATCATGTAAATCTAAAATATGGGTAAAAATCAGTAATCAGGTTAAGATTGTTTTATGAGCACAGCTGCATTGTTTATAGAGGAATTGTAATTGTTTCTTTTACTTTATTTTTGAAGGGTATTAACAATAGGTCAACATCCCTCCTTACCTCCAAGTAAACACCTCTTTCATCCGGAGAAGTACACTTGCTCTTGACTCAAGATGCCATAAAGTATATGGCAATTATAGAAGAAAAGATGCCAGTAATTTCTGCCTTAAATATTGGTGTTGATGCTGTTTCATTCAGGCCTTTGCTAAAACCAAGTGAACAGACGGAATCCCATTGTGTGAATAAAACTGATTCAGAAGCAATCCAATTCTTCTGTTTTCCCCAAAATAAGACCTACCCCCAAAATAAGCCCTACTTAAGATCTCGCCCACTCCATTGCACCTAGCTGCATGAAGTGGGGCAAGGAACATGGTTAAAAATCAAGCTAAAGCAGGGATGGGGGGGGACCTGCCCCACACCCTCCACACCCACTTGCCTTAGGACAGTTGTAGCCAGGCCACCCAAGCCACAAAACCTGCCTTCCCTTGAGGGCCCACTTCTGCAGCCACTTGTCGCTGCTCACATGCATTGCCACCGGCCATCTTCCGGAAAGGCCTCTGCAGCCAAAAAACAAGCTCGGAATTGACATGCGTGGCGCCCCTGGCTTCCATTTTGCCGCCAGAGGCCTTCCAGAAAGGCCTCTGCAGCTGAGAAACGAGCTCCAGATTGACGTGCAGGGCGC